GTCATTTTCAACCAATCACGAATCGCGAGAAAAAATGGACTCCTCCAGAGTCTCACGCATTGACATCCGCTGGATGGCAAAATTGTGKGCTCTGGGTACAAGATTGAATGATGTATAATGCAGTGCGCATTAACACAGGCAACCCAACTATGTGTAAAAATCTGGAAAAAAACACTGTCATCTGGAGCTGTACCTTCTCGCATAACATCGACAAGAAGCTAATTTCTTGTGGAATATATCCATTTGAAAAGGCTTTGCTACAGTTGAATATGTTAATGCTAATGTTATATGCTAATGTAAACTAGAGTTAGACTATCATATACCGCTAATGCAGAAAATACGGATAGAAGGTAGAGTATAAAAATAAAACTACTGTGAACCATAAATACCACTGCTAAATTATCGGCKAATGGTTTTGTTTTATATTGTTCAATTAGCACTATTTTGTAGTGCAAAGTGTTGCACACTAAATTAGTGCTTTTACTCTAGTGTATTCCAATATTCCAATGCATTTGTTGCCGTCCAAAAACGAGTTTTCGTGGCTTCAGAGCTAATACACCATGCCGGAGCTCTGTATAGTCAATAACTTCAATGGAAAGCAATTACGTTTATTAGAATTGTCATTTACCGAATTGTCATTTACCTTGTATTTTTTTATGATCTTTATGCTGACACACCACGCTGATATACTTATGTCGAACCGCCTCGATTAGAGTTTCTCTTTTATTTTTTCAGGCCAAACATTTATCTTTATAATTTCGTTACCAAAAATGAACTCGAACTTAACTATAATAATATTAAAACATGCGTTTATTCTTTGAATTCATAGTTTCCAATGTGTACGTTTCTCAACACGGAAGCGACACACCTTCATGTGGTACAGACATACAGCCCTGTAAGACTATCGCCATGGGGGTGTGGCTAGCAAAACAGCACGCGCGGGTCTACGTGGATGGGACTGGGTCAGACACAACGCCATTTTCTTGTAGATCGTCCGCCAGTGAGATACCAGGAATTCTTTCTAAYAAGAGTCTATCGATGGTTGGTATCCATTCAATGGTCCACGTCAATTGCCAGGAAGGGTCASACSTTAGGTTCATAAAAGGGATGTCACAGAATGAGACCATTGTCAGTGTTAGTAATTTTAAATTTATCAATACCGCAATACAAGGCCAGGATGTAAGTCTTGATGTCAATGACTGTATCTTTAATGGTGCATTACAAGCCATAAATCTGGTCCAGTCTACCATCGGGCCAATTACATTGTTATTTACTAACTCGCTATGTGTGAATGTTGGTTCCTGCATGGCAGTTAGAGTTACGGGGCTTTCACAAMMAAGMAATAGGATATCAATTGGTGTAACCAATAGCAACGTTGTTGCGTCAGGGTTAAATAGCTATAGCAGCATACCTGCCGCAGTCGCTATCCACGTGACCTCAAGTGGTACTTTGAACTACACATCCTATACCCAAGAGAAGTGGATGGYTTGTGATATTACACTACGAAATGTTTCTTTTCAAAATAATATCTTCAATGGCATGGGYATAGTSAATGTGGAATTGGTGTACGTTACTTCTCTGTATGCAGAAAACGTCTTCGTCTACAATAATACTTTAGTGACGTCTCAAGATGACGTCATTCTAAATTTTGGTGTTGCTGCTGAAGCTAGTGTTTATAACCACACTATGACCCTGACGAATGTAACGTTTCTGCAGAACAAAGGAAATTCTTATAAATTACCTCGGGCTATTTATGTGAGTGCAGTAGATGACATATTGCTGAGTATCCTAGCCTGTAGATTTGAAAATAATTCTGGAATAATGACCTTATTTCCAGGGAATAATATTTACCTTAATATAGAAAATACAATATTTGTTGACAACTTTGGGAATGATAATCTCATTTTTGTTTTTGGAAGAGCAAATACATTGGTAGCCATCAAGGACTCAATTTTTCATAACAACTGGTGTGAAAAGTGCGACTTTGGAATGATATCACTGCTCTCACATTTTCAGATCAATGTCGTGATTACGAACTGTCATTTTGCCAATACGCCAAGTTTATTTATGTTGTACATCAACGGCTTGAAGCACGTTTTCTTCAAAATGATTAATTCGGCAATCATTGGGAATACTGAAACAGAATCTAGTGGATCTGTATACATTGTTGCTGATGATATCGCTGATGTTTCATTCTCTAATGTCACATTTGAAGGCTGTGTAAATGATGGTTACAAGTATGGTGGAGCGTTGTATTTAAGCCTGACACAAGGAAACATCAATATTARCTCTTGCAAGTTCATTGGCAATAGGTCACCAGCCAAGTCCGGTGGTGCAGTGGAGTTTCAATTGCAAGGGGGTGATTCACTCATTGACCCAGGATGTATGCSGCCAGACCCTACTGGTACCCTCATCGATGATGGTTACAGGCCTTACAGACGATGGACTTACAATGCTTCTGTAGTGATCACAAATACAATATTTGCGAACAATAGTGCTGTTAACGGAGGGGCGTTGTCCTTGTCTGGGGGCAAGTATACCATTCGCGGCTGCACTTTTATCGACAATTTTGCGCATGTGCAGGGTGGGCATATTTACTCCATCACAGACTCAACCCGGCTTGAAATACTCGACTCAACATTTTTACAAAAAATGTCACAAATGATTGTGAGTCATGAAAAAGTGTACGGAACAAGTGTTGGTTTGTTTATATATTCACTTAGTGTAGGCCCTTTGACGATATTCAATACCATGATGAAATCCGCGTGGTCACGTGACGTACACTTAAAAACTTTAATCTTTATCTCAAAGGGAAGCTTSATTGATTTTGGTGACAATAATCAAACGATACTGAAATGCCCAAGAGGAGGCAGCCTCGAAATTCTCAATTACACCACAATCGTTGACACTGAATATCAATCAAAACCTTGTAASATTGCTTTAAGCCTATTACAGTTTAACTGCAAAGCTTGTCCAATCGATACCTACAGTCTACAACACGGTYACAGCCTGGGAATGACTACGATCAGCAGTTTTAAATGTTTGCCATGCCCATTCGGAGCGGYGTGYMAYAAYAARATWTCMGCCAAACCCAACTATTGGGGATACGAAGTGGAAGAAAACCCTTCRGAGCTTAAYTTTACCCARTGTCCTTTGGGGTACTGYARCATKACAGATGCAAACGACTTYRYTGACTACAATCGTTGTCTTGGTAACAGAAGTGGGACACTATGTGGYCATTGCAAGGAAAACTACAGCGAAACTCTGCTGACKCCATTGTGTCGTCATGACGATGAATGTAAMGACTACTGGTTGTTGGGCGTGGCCATTTTCATGGWATTGCTGATGGCTTTGTATTTRATTCATAAGCCAAGACTTTCGCACATTYTCAAGAAGCAARTTTTGTGGTTCAAATATTTCCCTGATAATGTCGAAGAACAAGGGCCGGCARGTGAAGACAATCGCGTCGCGGGGTCCGGATATTTGAAGRTAGTGTTCTATTTCTACCAAGTAGCCAACATTATTCTCGTCACCACATCGTACGATAATGCAATTAAGTCRTACSTCCTGCAGCCTRTCATTGGCCTCTTCAACTTTCAATTTCGCTTGTCCACAAGTGGTCTCCTTTGTCCATTTCGTGGTCTCAATGCAGTAACTAAACAGCTTCTGTTTGCYAGTCAGGTGTTTGGTGTTGTGGTCATGATTGCGGTTTGTTACTGCTTTCATCGCATACTGCGCTTGTGCAGGTCCAGGCCACCTCCTAACTTTGGACCTTACCTTGGCGCTGTCGTGGAAACACTGTTGCTAGGATACGCTGTCTTTGCCCACACRTCTTTACARCTATTGCAATGTGTGCCATTAGCAAGGGATTGGCAACTGTTTATCGAYGGTACCGTTTCATGTTATCAATGGTGGCAGTACTTGTTGATGGTGTTTGTTGGTACAGCGGTTGTACCTTTCATCTTAACCCTCGCRCTTGGTTCTCATTGGCTGCACAAGGGAAGTATTTCTGTGAAAGAGTTTGTGCTTGGMTGCGTTCTTCCTCTACCATACTTGATGTACAAACTGATTTCATTGTCGCGTGGACCMCGCGAAGCAAACCAAGAGCCGCGCGAGTGGAGAGCATCAGTTACGAGTGTTCTGTATGGTCCTTTTCGTGTTCCAAAGGATGACAGTWTTGGTGCCGTCTACTGGGAAAGCATTCTGATATTCAGACGGCTGATTCTTATTGTAATCTACGTTTTTGTACGAGATCCTTTGTCCAAGGAACTGTTACTKACGTTTGCWARTGTAATCATCCTTTGTCATCACATTATTGTACGGCCATTCCATGACGTAACTGAAAATATCATGGAGATGATGTCATTGTTTTTCTTGTTCTCATTAGCGTCCATCAACACCTTCAAAGCAAGCTTCATTTCAATTGGAGCAGAGCAAAAAGGTCCCCTTTCATCGTTCGGGCATATCATGGACTGGATTCAAATCATCATCTTAATGGCGCTTCCAGGCCTGTGTCTATTGGTTGTTCTAGCGGCCATTGTGTCCCAGATCATTCGCCTTGTTATCAAAGTCTTGTCTTACATTAAGCTAAAATGCATCAGGTCACGTGATGTGCTTGTGATTGATGACATGGACAGCAATTCGCTGGAACATTACAGTAACACTGATTAGTATGTTAGAGGTTAAGCCTGTTGCTCATTTTGTGTAAAAGTAATTGTTTTGAGTTTGCATTAGGAACGATAGTCTTGCCGTTCTTTTCTGGCACTAAATTACAAATTTTGAATGCTTTCCAATTTTCTTATAAAAAGCCGAATTATACATTGTTTTTAAAAACACAGTTTTTGCCTTGAACTATTATATAACACTATATTTTGCCTTTAAAGCTCCAGAAACTTGATTATAAAAAAATGTTTAGAGAGGATTAAATTTGAGAAATAAGTTTGGCAACTCTGGTCTTAATGACATTCAAATCAAATTACAAGTACCCAATCCTAACACCAAACCTAAAGCTCTAAAACTTTGTTGACAAGATGAGTCTTTCGTAGCCTCTTCCAGGCATCACTAAGAGTMATGGGCTTCCTGTCTTTTTCTTGGAGCCAGAACAGGAAGGGAGAATGGGAGCAAATGAAGAAGAGTGTGTGCCACCTCTTTGCTCCTCCTGTTATTTTTCCATACTAGTCCCTAGTGGTCAAGATTACCACTACAAAGGAAGTCTGGAGAAAAAAAAGAAGAAGTTGCCTTGGGAGGAGTGAATTAGCAYTATGAATGAGGTAATTCCTAATATCAAAAGGATAAAATTCATAGAAATCTAATGATGCTCTTTATCCACCCTAAAATGCACAGATCACCCAAAATAACATGATTTAATCCAAAGCAATTTACATGTATATACAAGATTGGTACTTTAAAGAGTTGATTAATTATTAATTTCATTAATTATTTATTTGTTTAGTGTGGCGAGGTTAAACCTGTGAAACAAATTTTGAGTATTTTAAAAAGTGCCATAGTCAAATAGGCACAAAAGAAAAYAATTACYGGTACAATTAGAGCGTACTAAGGTATATTAGTGTAATACCTATTTCACAGCTTTTCACTTCACTCTAAAGCAAAAATTATCTAATATATATACTTGTGGGTAACAACAACAAAAAATTTAGAAGTTTGATGTAGAGCCACAAACAGCTGTGATTCTCAAGATCAAAGTGATTACCAAAACATTCACCTAATTCATGCATAGTTTGAATCATAACAAAAAGCAATACCGGTATTTCTTCTTTAGATGTGGTACTTTAGAATTTTTTGCATTGCTGATATGCAAGAAAAGCCAAAATAAAATATAATAATAAATCTGATGCTTTCTAATGATTTGTACTTGACTTTGCAAAGTCTGCTCTGTACCATCACTTTGTTATCTTATAAGTAGCCAAACAATTTCTGCTCAGGTTTCACGTCACTGCAYGCAGTCCAATATTTCTTGTCCTTTTGTTGAGGCTACTGAATTGCATTTCTTCAGTTTGAACCTGAAATCATGCAACTATGAAACTATAAAGTGAGAGGTTTAGTCAGAGACACAATCCCATTCTTTTACACAACTTTGGTTGTCAAAAATTGCCTTAACAAACTGCTGCATTAATCTATCAGCATATCCAGCTCCAGTAGGGAGAAGACCTTCTGTAAATCCAATATGGCCTCCAAATGCAGTCAATACCATGGCAACATTTGGGCTCCCTTTGATGTTTTCCAATGGGAGRGAGTGAGCAGGAGCAAAAGGGTCATCAGCAGCSGCAAGGCTCAGTAATGGGATGTTRATTGTATCCAGTGGCTTTGAATGAAGTGTCGCTGTGTCATAGTAGTGGTCACTATCTCTGAATCCAAACATAGGTGCAATAAATCTCTCATCAAATTCCCTGATTGTTCTTGATTGGTACACATGATTGATGTCAATCTGACGTGTTATTCCTGCCTTTGTAACCATATGTTGGTGGTTGCGTACAAGACCATGCAGGCAATTTGTGAGGTAGCGGTTRAACATAAACCAATTCAATGGTTCCTCAAGAGATTCTGATGACTTAAAAGTGTTCCATGGCACAGAAACTGTCATGGCTGCTATAAGTCCAGTAGACTTTCCCATTTTTAATAAGTAATTACTCAGTATTATACCACCAAGTGAGACTCCAACAGCAACAATAGGGATTCCAGGTTTAGAAACATTTATATGGTGAATGACAAACTCAACGTCATCRGTATTTGCAGCACAGAATGATCTGGGGGTTCTCAGCTTAGCACCAGCAAGTCCACGATTGTTTAACACCACTGCGCRGTAACCAAGGTCCTGAATTTCCTTTACRAAGTTAAGCACATAGCCATGYTTACTGTCACCAGTCAGACCTGGCATAATMAGGACTGTAGGGAATTTATTRGGGTCCTCRGCTTTATCACTCCCATTGTCCAGCCAATCAAGATAGAGCTCCCCACCATCTGGTAATCTAAGCARTTCTCGGCGGTARTGTATTAGTGGATGTGATCTCATAATGCTTCCAATSACTGTTTGAGCTCGACCTCCATAGCACCAGATRGTCGGCCAGTAAGGCTCTTTCAGTATCGGACAATTTTTAATGAGGAAGTTTTGGAATTGTGAGCCWTGTTTGGCAATTAGTTGKGGTTTTCTACCAATTGTTAATATGTAGTAAGATACACAAACGGCCAATGTTCCAAMTGTCATTGAAATAACGGGCCATTCACGAAGATAGTCAGGAAAAACATCAACGACTGTACCAGAAGAAGCCATGTTTGATCGAATCACAACAAAATTCGACTTCGATTAGGTCACTGCAGCTTATGCAACGTTAATCTTTCTTCAACTTTAACTGATATCCCCTAAAAAGGATAGATTTTTGTTTCCGATTAAA